CTCCAAAAAATAGGTGGGGTTCAACCAAAGTAGTAGTGGGGGTGAGGAAAAAAGGGGTTTTGCCTAAATGTAATGAAGCTTAAATTAATGAATAAAGTCCATTTTATGTGATTACTTCACCCATCCATGCATGTTTAATAATTTCCCCTTTCTTTCCACGTTAAAATTTCTATTGGTGGAAATTTCAGGAAGTTCTGGGACACACCCACAATTTTTTCAGTAAACATATGATGGCTGGTTTGGGTTATAGCCAGTCAAGTTGTGATTTGTTCATTAATCCACATTTAAAAGAAAAGGCAGCTTAGCATAACAGGTGAACAAATGTTTAAAAAAAGCATTTTAATCTTTATTGAAATATATATTCAACTAATAAATTATGCTGATTTATTATTATTGAAACATAATTTAATTTTCATTTAATGGAGAAAAGAGTATTCCCTGTACGTTTAATTGTTTTCCTTTTCTGTCATGCCTATGGTTATAATTAGTTGGCTGCTCTCACCGCCACCCTCAAAGTTTTCAGGGTCTGTGGATGGCCCTAAAACTTCAGGCTGTGCACCTCTAGCTTTCTCATCCCTGACATAATTTATCCCACATTTACAAATCACTGAAATGAAACATTTACATTAGAACATAAAATCAGCATTATATATTGTTTTAATGATTTGTCAGTTATTCTAAAAACCTTTCTGGCTCGAATGAAATAAATTCTTTAAATAATAGAATAAGCATTGCAGGTATCATGTCATAAAGAATGATTATGTCACAAGCTGCAACCATTTCTTCCATTTCAGAAGCCAACCAGAGCTTTGAGAGAATCATATGGTAGAGTTACAGGGAGAACTCTAAGAGTTATCAGGAAATCGTTTGTATCTGTCAGCTTCCTGAGGCAGAAAATTGAAAATAGTTTCCCTTACCTGCAGATGCTTGAATCCCAGTAAATTTAAACTTCTTCATAGAGTTATCTGTCCACAACAACCAAATCATAGAAGATTTCTTTAACTCAGAGTACTGCTATCTCATTCAGCTTAGAAAAACCAGAACAATGTGTGTCCTGTTGAATAAATTGGACAAAATACCAACTCGGACAAATCCATAGGCTATGAAATCCCGAGCTTTTCCCAGCAATCTTAATGTAATATGACTGTCCTTTTTAGAATATATACCCCGTGTCATACCAATAAACACTGCACAGAACTGCTCTTCATGTAGCAATTTCAGGGCTGACTTCAGAGCACTGAAAAACCACATATCAAGTGACACAACGTTCAGATAGGTGCACAATGTGTTTGTTGCTGATTTAGTGTGGTGAACAAAGCCGTCTAAAAAAGTTGGTTAGGGGGACCCCATAAAAGTCTTCCAGGGTGGCTGTGTTTCTTACTCGCATGATAGACTCCTTG